GCTCATCCTGCGAGCTAAGCAGAAATTTGGGGTGCAGCTCAACTACTCCCTGGTGAGTGAGTCCCCCTGCATGCTAGGGTGGTGGGGTCCCTTCACGTGGGTCCGAGGCACCTCACCAAGATGCAGAGGGTGGGACAACAGACAATGCCAGAGGGGTCATCCCTGGTGGGAGCAGCCACAGGCACTGCCATCCCTGCAGGGTGCGTGTTGGCCCCAGAGTGGTTATGAGGCAGTGGGTGGGTGCATGGTCCTGGTGTGAATCCTTCTGGGATGCTCCTGTGTGTATGGCCGTGAGTGTGCTCAGATTCCGCCTGGCAGATGAACCTGGTGGCGGGGTGTTTCTATGATGGGATGCTGCTGTACGCCATGGTGCTGAATGAGACTCTGCGTGAGGGCGGCTCCAAGAAAAACGCCACCCACATCATTGAGAAGATGAGGGACCGCAAGTTCCAGGGTAACACTGGGATGGGGACAACTGGGTGGTGGATGCTGTAAGGGCGGTGGAACTCAGTCCCCATCCCACCTGCATGTTAATTTTCTGACAGGTGTCACAGGGCTTGTGAGCATGGACAGCAATAATGACCGGGACACTGACTTCAACCTATGGGCCATGAGTGACCCCAAGACTGGGCAGTATGAGGTGGGGGGAGGTTCCCCCTGGCTGGGGTTGGGGGATGGGATGGTGGGGTCTGGGGGTGGCCTCATCTCTCTCTGCCTCAGGTGGTGGGACACTACTCGGGTGTGGAGAAGCAAATCCACTGGCTGGGACGACCCATCCCCTGGGTGAAGGGGGCTCCCCCCTTGGACAACCCTCCCTGTGTCTTTGATGTGGATGACCCCTCCTGTGATAAAAGTGGGTGTCCTGGGTCCCCATATCCCTTGGACCCCAGCAAGCTTCCATATGGATGCATGTCAGTCTGGCTGTCAAAGCCAGCCAGATGGGCCACCCTGACACATTCTCTCCTGCCTGCAGCCCCCCTCTCTATGCTGGCCATCGTGGCTTTGGGCACCGGCCTCACCTTTGTCATGTTTGGCATCTCCAGCTTCCTCATCTTCAGGTCAGTCAGGGCTGGGAGAAACTCTGTCTGATGTGTGGGCGGGCAGGCAGGACACAGGGGATGGGGGGCCTGACCCTTATGTGTCCCCCAGGAAGCTGATGCTGGAGAAGGAGCTTGCCAGCATGCTCTGGAGGATCCGCTGGGATGAGCTGCAGTTTGGAAGTCCTGAGCGGTACCACAAGGCAGCTGGCAGCCGGCTCACCTTGTCCCTGGTTAGAGGAGCCATCCCTGAGGCACCACCCCTGCCCCTGTGCTGCCTTCCCTCCCTGCATCACACCGCTCCCTGTGGATCCCTTTAATGACCCTCTGTTTCCTATAAAGCCACAGCCCCACTGAATCTCTCTTCAACATAGCCCTTCATCCACCCCATTCCCTATAGAAACTTACTCCATCCATCCCTGGCATGACTTTCCATCCCCTGCAGAGCCACAGTAGATTCTTCCTCTACATAGCCCTGAATCCTCTATGTAGCACCATACTTCATCAAGCCCCTGTGTTGCCCTCCATCCCCTACAGACATACCTCTTCCATGTCCTACACTCCATGCAGTGCACCATGCCTCATCCTGGAGTCTTCATCTTTCCTACAGAGCACGCAGAGCTTGTCCTGACCCTTAGAGCCCATCCTGCACCATCCCTGAACACCTTGAATGTCCCTGCCCTACTCCATTGGCGGGGTCCTCTCCCTAAACCCCGTATTCCCACAGCGTGGCTCCAGCTATGGCTCCCTGATGACCACCCATGGCAAGTACCAGATCTTCGCCAACACCGGCCACTTCAAGGTCAGTGCACCAGGCCGGGAGTTGAGTCCTCCCCATGAAATGCCCCAGCTCTGCTGTGCTCCCACTTGGCTGCACCCCCATCATGCAGGATGTTGGCACTTCCCTCCTCTTTGCATATTCATCCAGTGGACATTGACCTTTTTCCCTTCCCAAACACCCCAGGGCAATGTTGTGGCCATTAAGCACATCAACAAGAAGCGAATTGAGCTGACACGGCAGGTGCTTTTCGAGCTAAAGCATGTAGGTTTGGGGTCTGAGCTAGGGTGGGCAACCTGCTTGGGAGTGCAGGGATTGGTCCTGAGCATGTGGGAGGGTAGCAGGAGCACCCTCCTAGCAGCTCATGCCCTTTGACCCCAAAACTGTCTTGGATTCACTTCCACCTGCAGATGCGAGATATCCAGTTCAACCACCTGACCCGCTTCATCGGGGCGTGCATTGACCCCCCCAACATCTGCATCATCACTGAGTACTGCCCACGGGGCAGCTTGCAGGTAGCGGGGTTTGGGGACACTGCAGGTGACATTTAGATATTCCTGGTGACCCAGCTGGGCTGTGTGTTGTGGACAGGGCTGTGGATGCTGGTGGCCACCTGAGCCCTAGCAATAATGCTCACGGCTGAGCTGTCCAAGCAGGTGTCAGAAGCCAGTGGAGGGGTGGGGGTGGGTGCTGCAGACACCCTGAGCTGGGCAATTGGTGAGGCTGCCATCACCATGACCTGGGTGCTTGGTGGAGTCCACTCAATGTGCTACCACAGGATGTCCTGGAGAATGAGAGCATCAACCTGGACTGGATGTTTCGCTACTCCCTCATCAATGACATTGTCAAGGTATCTAGCTGAGAGGTGTGAGGGGATAGGGAGAGGTGCCTGAAAGATATAAGCTTCACTGTGTCCATCTGTCCCAGGGAATGGCCTTCCTGCACAACAGCATCATTGGCCATCACGGCAGCCTCAAGTCATCCAACTGCGTGGTGGACAGCCGCTTCGTGCTGAAGATCACCGACTATGGCCTGGCCAGCTTCCGCTCGCCTAGCGACAATGAGGACACACATGCACTCTATGCCAGTGAGTGCCTACCTGGGAGGACCAGAAGGATGGGGTGGCCCTGTCTCACTGTTCCATTTCTTTGTCCCACCAGAGAAGCTGTGGACAGCACCAGAGCTGCTGCAAAAGGGACACCTGCCCACCCCGGGCATGCAGAAAGCTGATGTCTACAGCTTTGGCATCATCGTGCAGGAGGTTGCTTTGCGCAACGGCCCCTTCTACATCGAGGGGATGGACTTGAGCCCCAAAGGTGAGGATGGAGAGCACGTGTGTGGAGGTCCTTCCTCACCATGGAAGTCTGGTGCTCACTGTTGGCCACACCCCGGCAGAGATCGTGCAGAAGGTGCGTAACAGCCAGAAGCCCTTCTTCCGCCCCTCCATTGACATCGGGGTGCACAGCGAGGAGCTGGCAGTGCTGATGGAACGCTGCTGGGCGCAGGAGCCGGCTGAGCGCCCCGACTTCAGTCAGATCAAGATCTTCATCCGTAGATTCAACAAGTGGGTGGTTGGCATGCAAGGACAGTGGCCCTGGGTGGGAGTGGGGACAGCCATGGGAGTGGTGGTGGGGGTCACCTCTTCCTGCAGTGCCAACTTACTGCACCCTGGCAGGGAGGGAAGCACCAGCATCCTGGACAACCTGCTGTCGCGCATGGAACAGTATGCCAACAACCTGGAGAAGCTGGTGGAAGAGAGGACACAGGCCTACCTAGAGGAGAAGCGCAAGGCAGAGAACCTCCTCTACCAGATTCTGCCCCAGTGAGATGGGGACACAAGGGAGTGTGTGGGTCTGAGGGTTGGCATGGGTTCAGCTTGTACCTACTGCTATGCAAGTATGGGGTCCCTTCACAGCTTTCCGTGCTGGTGTGAGGCAAGGGTTCCAGGGGGAACAGTGGGTTTGGGGTGGAGCTCACCACTATCCTTGCCAGTTCCGTGGCAGAGCAGCTGAAGCGTGGAGAGACAGTGCGGGCTGAGGCTTTTGACAGCGTCACCATCTACTTCAGTGACATCGTGGGCTTCACCGCCCTCTCAGCAGAGAGCACTCCCATGCAGGTGAGAGCAGGACTTGGGGGGCAGCACCTCTGTGGTGCTGGTTGAGGTCTCACACCCTAGAAGTGCCATCCCTGGGGTTGGGGGATGTCCTCTCCCAGATGTACACACACCCTTGTTCCATCCAGGTCGTGATGCTGCTGAACGATCTCTACACTTGCTTTGATGCCATTATCGACAATTTTGACGTCTACAAGGTGAGTGGTGTGGTGAGCAAGCACAGCCCCCCAGAGTGAGGCAGGCAGCAAGGAGCCCGAGTGGTACCTGCCCCCCCTGCCCCCACAGGTGGAGACCATCGGGGATGCCTACATGGTAGTCTCGGGGCTGCCAGTGCGCAATGGGAAGCTGCATGCCCGTGAGATTGTCCGTATGGCCCTGGCCCTGCTCGAGGCTGTCAAAACCTTCAAGATCCGTCACCGTCCCAACGACCAGCTCCACCTGCGCATTGGCATACACACCGGTGAGCCCCCATGCTAGCCAGCTGGGGGGTGCTTGCCCACCCATCCGCCTGCCCTGCAGCATCCCCGAGTGCCTCTGTGCCTGCAGGTCCCGTGTGTGCCGGAGTGGTGGGTCTGAAGATGCCGCGGTACTGCCTCTTCGGGGACACGGTGAACACTGCATCCCGCATGGAATCCAACGGCCAGGGTAAGCCAGGGCAGCTGAAGTCCAGAGCCATGGGGTGTGTCCTGTTCCCATGGCACCCAGCCATGTCTCTCTTGCTCCTCTGTGCTACTCAGCCCTGAAGATCCATGTCTCATCTGCCACCAAAGAAGTCCTGGATGAGTTTGGATGCTTCGAGCTGGAGCTGCGTGGTGATGTAGAAATGAAGGTGAGGGCACAGCAATGCTGGGGTACTGCCCCTTCCAACCACAGGGGAATGCAGTGGGGAGGTGGGTTGGGGCTAGGACCCCTTGTTGCTCACAGTGGTGGGGATGACACCCAAGAAGCTGCTCCAGGGGCAAACAGGGTCTTAACTTGCTCACCTCTGCCTCCAGGGCAAGGGAAAGATGCGGACATACTGGCTGCTGGGCGAGAGGAAAGACCCTTAAGTAATTTGAGCCCAGTGGCTGTGGCAGAGCCCCCAGCTCAATGGGGCCACCAGCGTTTTCTGGTACCCCTGGATGCACAGCACCCCTGCATCACTGCATCCACCTGACTCTGCAGCCCCCCTGCTTCAGCAGGGCCTGGGCAAGGTGGGGCAGCGGCCACAGCACTGTCTGCTCCCCGCCATCAGCACCAGCAAAGCCCACCTTCCCCACAGCCTCTGCTGGAGGGGGGTAACCAGCCCTCATCCAGCCCAAGAGACCTTTTATTCCCCCCACCCTCTGAGGTCTGCAACCCCTGCCCTCTCTCCTGTGGCTCAGCTGGCTCTGAGCTTCTCCGGGGCCTGGCTGCCCCGCAGGGCACTTTGCCGTCTCTTTTCAGTACCTGGTCCCCAGCAGAAGTTGTGCCCATGTCAACCCATCCCTGGGGCGGGGGGAAATGGGGATTCCTGCCAAGACTGACTCCTTGGCCAGGTCAGGCTTCAATGCCGCAGCTCCCCCCCTCCCCAGTCTCCCCTTCCCCTGTATATAACCCCACTGGGTCATGTAAATACCCATCCCTCCTCCAGGTGTAAATATAGGACTCCCTGCAACTATTTTGTTGAAATACAAACTTCCCCAGATCCATCTGTCCTGTGGCCTCTACTTCGCTCTGCCCCAGCATGCCAAGAGGGGAGGGAGGCCGGGGGAACACCAATATGGAACTCAGCCTGGGCTGGTGACAGCTGCCTGAAACATCCCAAGACATCGTATCCCGGGGGTCTGTCTGCAGTATAGGGCAGGAGTGTGGGCATGGGCAGCCAGTGCTGGGTGATCGCAGCAGTGGCTGTTGAGGGCTTGGGTGGTGCTGGGAAGGCAGGGCTGCTGTGGGTTTGCTTTGGCGTGAGGGCTGCAGTGCGTTCCTCTGAGCTCATGCTCTGGCCGCTCCACTGCCGCCTCTTACTGGAACACACCTGTGCCTGGGGACTGGAACAACGCTGTGTGTCACCCACTGCATCCGCCAGGAGGGGACGTGTCCCAGGGGATGGGGCTATGCCAGGGGCTCTGCTTCCATGCCTAAGGAGAAAATCTTGGGACCACAATGTGGTTTGGGTCAACAGTAACTTGCAACAGGGCTGAAGGGTTTCCCATTTTGCTTCATGCTCTCATGGGATTTGAAATCTCAGGGACACAGTGCTCCCCTCCAAACATCCAGCTTGAGGACAGCCTTGGGGTGGGCAAGAATGCTGGGACCACCTGTGCCCCCTTGTTTTTTAGTGTCTGTGGGGCTGGAGCTGGCTGCTCAGGGGGTCGTAGGGGTCACAGAGGTTGAAGGGCTCGGGATGCCCTAAGTACATGGTAATGGGAGTGGAAAAGTCTGCATTCCTCTTGAAAGGAATATTTCTGCCGAAGAGGGCAGTGACACCCTGTAGAGGAGAGAATTGGAGAGGTCTGTGTCAGCAGCTGAGACTCCCAGGGCACTGGCCAGACAGGGTGCTGGGGGTCTTACCGGCAGTCCGTGGGCTTGCTGCAGCCAGAAGCTGGTTGGCTGCTCCGTTAAGTAGTTGTGAGGCTGCAAGGGAAGCAAAATGTGAGCCAGAGGGGATGGCATGCTCAGCAGGACACACTGAGCCTTGCAGCCTCCCTGGAGGCTGCTGTAAGCTGGCGGGGGGGATGTCTGCTGCCTGTACCTGGGTGATGGGCTGAGGGGTGGACTGGAAACCCATGGCACGGTAATCGTGGTGCGTGGTGGAGATAGATTCCATGCACCTCGGGTAGGGATGGATCTCTTCCTCCATCTCCTTACTGCAGTGAGAACAGATCCAGATCAGTTCTGAGATCCCCACCTCCCCACGTCCCCTCCTCTGGGGCATAGCCCCAAGGATGGGTCTCATGCGGGAGTGCAGGCTTGCCTGTATTTCTCGTAGAGCATGGATGCCAGTGTGGCCTTCCGCTGCCCTGCAGAGGGGAAGGTGCAATCAGCCTCCCAGCTAAGATTCCCATGCTGCCTTTTTGGGGTGCACATAGCTTGTTGGGGTCAGCCTCACCTTGCCCCAGTAGCACAGCCCTGAGAGGTGGGCAGTCCTTTGGAGGGGAGCTGTCAGTGAGCGAGGAGAGAAACTGGTGGATCGGCAGTCCATGGTAGCCACGCTGGAAGTCCTCACTGCCCAAATCCTTCCCTGGTCGAGAGTCCAGGGGATTTACGGGTACCTAGGGATGGACAGTGGGGGCTGTGGAAGGGGTCAAGAACCAATGCTGCACTTGCCTATGCCTTCTCCTGGCTTAGGCTTTTGATAGCCCTAGAGGCATAAGAGGTAAAGAGGTGTTACGGTCTTTCTGGCTAGAAGCCTGGGAAAGCTGGAGCAGGGACACAGCTTGGGCAGGGCTGACCTGTCCTGCCTAGTGGTCAGCCAGCCTTGTATGGCAGTCACAAGCACCTGGGGGCTCAGACTGCCCTGGGCAAGCACTCTTACAGCACTTAAACAACCCATGGAGTCTCCAGGCTGTGGCATAGTTTGGTCCATCAGGTGCCCCCCAGCTTGGCTTACCAAGAAAGCATCCCCACATGACTGTGATGGGCCATAACCCACAGCTCCTACTTCCCAGCAGCAAGATCACAGCTCCCCTCCTGCCTTACTGACACTCCCCAGGGGCCTGCCTGTGCCTTTTGTGCTATTGAGTTTCATCCCTTTTCTATCCTGCTGGGCTCAAGGTCGTCCGGGTGGCTATTTAAAGAGATGGGCCTGCCCAGGAGCGGGGAACTTCACAAGATCAGCATGTGGGACACGATGGGGCCAACTTTGAGGGGCCTTTTCCCTTATGGAGTTACCTCCTTCGGCCAGTCACGGGTCACACAGCTCCTCTTGGGCACCGGCTGGCTGGGCTTCTCTGCTGGTGTGGGTGGGGTGGGGGGCAGCGCCAGCACTGTGGTGAGGGACTCCTCCTCGGGGCTAGTCCCCCACTTTCCAAGCCAGGGAGACAACTTGATCCCGGAGGGATCCTGCCCAGTCTCTGGGGACGGCACCCTGCTGGGCACGACTGGTAGGGCCACAGTAGGCAGCTCATCTGTGTCTGCCGTCTCCTGGGGAGGCTTGGCTACATCCGACATCTGCTGGAGCCTCTTGGTGGTGGTTGTCAGCGAATCACCGCCGCAGGGGAGCCTCTCCACGGGCACCTCAGGCAGGGGTTCATCACCCTGGACCCTGAACGGTGGCCTCTTCCCGTGGCATCTAGGACCCACATGGCTTCTCAGAGCACCCCTGCAGGTGGGAACAGACTCTGAGGAAAGGCAGCGGGGCGCATCGGCCATTGACAACCACGTCCCCAGCCCCCACCAGCACAGGCAGCGTCCCGACCCCGGGTCCTCTGCAGTGTCACCTGCACTGTCCACAATGGGGCAAGGGACAAGAAATTCCTCTCCTTTTGGGGGACAGAAGCAATGCCTGCTGCTGGGTCTGTAATTTCGAGGGGTCTCCCCCTGCGTAACTCCCTTCTGTTCCCTTGACCACCAGCAGAAACACGCTTCCCACCCCCTGCCTGGGCTTAGCCCCCTGCTGCAACCTCCCCACAGACCGGACCACCAGTTTCTCACTCCCCCCTGCCCCCCGCCTCTCCCCACCGGGGTTACCCGGGGGAGTCTCTCTGCCCGTAGCCCGGGCCGCACCCCGCGGCGCAGCCGGCTCTGGGCTCCATAGCGCGTGCGCGCGGCGGGTCGCGCCTCTCTCCATGGAGACGGTGCACGGCGGCCGCGCGCCCCAGGGTGGAGCCGTGCGCGTGCGCGCCTCCCATTGGCGGAGAGACCAGGAGGGGGCGTGACTGTACCGCGAACTGGGCGGGGCAAAAGGATTAGTTAAACGGTGATGGGCGTGGTCCCGATGGAGTGGGCGGGGCCGAGGCGCGGTCAGCGTGAGGGGGTGCAGAGAGGGGGGTGGGAGTTGTGTGGGGCACGGGGTGCAGGGACACGGAGGGACGGGAGTGCGGAAGGGTGGGAATGTCGGGGGATGGGGACGCGAAGCTACAGGGACACAGAGGTGCCCGCGCTGCACTACGGGATCAAGGCTGTCCCCACTGTTTGGTCCAGGTACCCCGCGCCATCTTGTCCCGGTGCCGTGGGGCCAGCACTTGGGACAGATAGCCGCAGGGCTTCTCGGCGGTGCACCGTACCTGGGCAGGACCTGTGCAGCCCCATTGGGCCATTAGGAGGGACGTGCCCAGAGCTCCTGAGGACACACTGCTTGGTGACTCCCAGGTGACTTGACCCAGGTGACTCCCACACCGCTTGGTCCTGGCATTGCAATACGCCCGCTTGCCCCAGGGACCCCCAGCTGCCGGAGGGTGATGGGGCGGAACGTGCCCGGCGCCGGGCTGGGGGCAGCCCGTGCCCGCCGGCATGGAGCAGCAGCCTCCTCCCACCACTAGCCCTCGATGGGCCCCTGGCCCCATCTCCACAGAGGCCAAGCAGAAGAAGGGCCCTTTGATAGCAGGCGGCAGGCTCGGGAGTGAGGACTGTTATTCCAGTTCTTTGCGGTGTGTGCCGACGGGGCACCATGCGCTCCATGCTGGGGCCTCTGTTTTTCCTGGCTGGGGATGTGCTCAGTCCTTCTGGCCTCGGCAGGCCGGGGGGGCCCCCACTGGGGACCGCTCCTCCCTGCGGGCCCTCGGTTCCATGCCAAGCAGGGGCTCCTCCAAGCCCATCTGCTGCACAGCTGCAGGGAGGAGGTAGAGATGGGAAGCGTGTCCTGAACTCATCTCATGGCTTCCCCATGCTGGCTACATCAGTCCTGCTGCCCCTGAAAAGGGGTTGGTGCCAAGATGCCCCCAGGGCTGGCAGCTGACTGTGAGGGTTCTGAGTTGCATGCTGTTGGTCATGCTCCCATGCTCAGCCATGGGCCCTGTGGTGGTCCCTGAGGTGCACCCCTACACCAGCTCATGCCAGAGGGATGGCAGCTCGGGGACCCTGTGCCAGCTTTCATCCCCTGGTGGTCTTCCTAGGAGCATCCCCAGATGCTCCACCAAGCACCTGTGGGCTTAGCAAAAGCCTGGCTAGGCGGCATGGGTGCCTGAGGGACACCTACAGCACCAAAGTACACTGTGGGACAGGGAGCCTGGCGATGCCACCTTGTGTGCACCCACTGTGGGGCAAACCACCCTGTGGTGGCCTATGGAGCCTCACTGTTGGGCTGTGCTCTGGCAGCCTCAGCTCGGGCAGCAGCCCTGGAGCTGCCAGAGCACATCTGGCTGCCTCTCACCACCGGCTGACACATCCCTCGCAGCCTCCCCGCCTGGCTCTTTTGGGAACTTGCGTCATTTGTGATCCTCCCCGGCTGAGGAACCAAAACAGCCGTTGGCCCCTGTTCCCCCCCTCGCCTCGACCCCGTGGGGCTGTGCCCACTGTCCTGCCCTGCGCTGTGGCTGCTCGGGGACTGACAAGCCTGGCACAGGAAGAAACACGATGGCAGGCGACTGGCCCTGACCTCGCGTGCCAGCCTGTGCCCTGTGCCCAGTAGAGCACTCCCTGTGGGACTGCTATGGGTGAGCCCTGGGGGATGGTGTCCTGGGGATTCCTGGCCCCTCTTTAGCATCCCCACCTTGCCAGAGACACCCAACTCTCTTTGGGGTACACATCCCCAAGGCAGGGCTGTCCTGAGTTCAAGAGTGGCCCCATCCTGCACCGAGCCTCAGAGCAGGAAGCAGCAGTATTAACAATTTTAAGGCTCATTTACACCCCGAAAACATTCCCCATACTATACTGGGTGTGTATGTGTGGGAAGTGACTGGGCTCTGCCACAGCCCCACACAGCTCCCGGGGGCCCCCCGCCGCCAGCGCCACCGAGCCGGGGGATGAACAGAGCCGCCATTCTCCCCGGCGGACTGCGGTGCCCCGCGCGGCGGCTGGCGGGGGCCCAGGCAGTCCCGGCGGCGGTGCCAGGTGGGCCGTGCACCGCGCCAGCACCGGCCCCTGCCACTAAATATAGCCGTGGCAGCCGGCCGCGGAGCAGCGGCGCGGGAGGCACGCGGCAGGGAGCGGGCGGCCGCATGCGCCCAGGCCGCGTCCGCTCCCCTCACGGGGCCGCGCGGACACGTGCGGGCACGGGGCCGCGGTCAGGGTCTGTAAACAGCGCCGTGCGAGCACGGAGCCGGCGGGGCTTTGTGTGCACAGGGGCCTGGGGTGTGCAGTTTCCCGCGGTGGTTCACAGCCGTGGGGTCTGGCGCGAAAGGTATGATGTGTTTTCCTCAGCGTGCACTTGCAGGGGCGTCTGGGGTGAGCGATACAGTGAGTTTCCCTCAGAGGTAGCTGGGGTGTCTGGGGTGAGCAGTGCAGTTGAGTTTTGCATGGCAGCACAAACACGAGCAGTACAGTGGCTGCAGTATGGGGGAGTACATAGGTTTGTGTACATGGAGGAGGCAGCAAGTCCACCCACCATGCAGCCTGTCCTGCCCTGTGCTCTACTTAGGTCTATGATTCTCCTGGGAGCTTCCAGAGAGGCCCGTCTGGGGTGGACAAGTACACGTGCAGTCAACATGCCTGCTCTGAGGGCATTTAGATCAAGCTAGTGCAATTAACTGGTTTTGAAAAGCAGGGAAACATCAGTGTCCAGTGCAGGGCTCTGGTGGCAGCACAGGGGGGCTGGCACGGGGGAAACCTGAGGCAGAACAGGGGCATTCAGAGATGCTGGGACTGGGTGAGCAGTCCTGGACGTGGTACGCTACTGACACCCCTAGGATGTTCCCCACCTTGGGGACAACCTTGTGGCACCCAGGCTGCTCCCCTAGCCCAGCACCAAGATGAGTCTTTTGCCTGTGAGCTGTGGGCAGCCCCAAAAAGCCCTTCTGCTTCAACTGTGGGGTTGGTACGTGAGAAGCCCAGACCCTCTGCAAAAAGAGGGTACCAACTCTACTGCTGTGACAATGGAGGCCAGCCCTGCCCTGCCCTGTCCAGGCCAGCCACCGCCACCCCCAAAAAAGCCACCCTGATGCAGAGCCACTGAAGTCACCGCCAAGGAGATGCTTTATTGGGGAGCAAGTGGGTAGTGGTGTTAGCCAGGGGGCCAGCCCATCTGCCGCCCCCCCAGCACATGGAGGTGCAGGTGGTAGACGGACTGTGCGCCATGCTTCCCATCGTTGATCACTGTCAAGAGGAGTACAAAAGTCAGGCCACCCCCTTTGTCCCCAGCCCCCCCAGACCACCAGTGAGGGTCCTGCCCCACAGAACAGTAAGGGATATGAACTCACCAAGGCGGTAGCCATCAGCCAGCCCCTCTGCCTGTGCCATGCGTGCCGCCACCACCATCAAGTGCCCCAGCAGCTGAAAGAAGGGGGAGCGGGAGGGTCAGCACTATATGACCCCCGCCACCAATGACCCAGGGACCTCTCCGGACTCACCTCAGTGTCTTGGGGAACCACGTGGCTGATCCGGGGGATGGGGCGCTTGGGGATCACCAGGAAGTGCACAGGGGCTTGGGGGGCCACATCACGGAAGACGAGACACTACCAGGGGGTGCAGGGTAAGCCCCACACCCGTGGGTTCTGCTCCCCTGCCCCAGTGGGGACACAGGTCCTGCTGTCCCAGCTACCTTGTCATCCTCATAGAGAATGGTGGCAGGGATGGTGCGGTCGATGATCTTGCTGAAGATGGTCGGCTGCCCTCCTGCCTTCTCGCCAGCCGCTGCTGCCTGCTGCGCCTTGCCCACCTCCCCGTCCTGCCTGCCGGGTGCCGACACGCACCGCTGGGGCTGAGGGGCATACCTGGCTTACAGCCTGTGCCCACGGGGACAAGGACAAGCACACCGCCGTGGGGGTGGGTGGGGGCATGCGGGGGAACACGGGTGCCAGGTGGTGGAGGGGAGTACATGCGGGTGATGGTGGGATGCACGTGGGGGTGGTAGGGGATGCACGGGGGAATGCACATGGGGGTGACATGGAGTGCACACTGGGATATGGGCAAGGGATGCATGTGGGGGTGATGCAGGGTACACGTGGGGGTGATCAGACTAATGCATGGGGTGATGGGGGATGCATGTGGAAAGTGGTGGGATTCATACAGAAGCCCTGGGGGTGCACACAGAGGTGATGATGTGGTGCACGTGGGGGTGATGCTTGGCCGTGACAGGGGGTGCCACATGGGGCAACAGGGAGGTGCTCACGGGGGTTACATTCATAGGGGTAAGAGGGGCAGATGCCCAGGGGGCTGGTAGCGTGCCGTGCTGACAGGGGTGACAGGGGACTGTCCACAGCCTGCAAAGTGGGCTGTGCTCCCAGGGGACAGGCCCACGGGCCTGACAAGAGATCTGTGCCCTCGGGGGTGCGGCTGTGCCCACGGGGACGCAGGCTGGGGTGGGGGTGGATACCCACGGGTGCTCCGAGGCCCCGTGCCGTGGCCTAGGGGTGCGCGGGCCGGCGCTCATGCTCGCCGCGGACTTTGCCCGAAGGTGGAATGGCGAGCATGGTGCGGACCCGTTCCGCTGCCCCTGCTACCCCGCACAGCCCGGTGTGTCCCCTTTATCCCGGGACCCCCCCGACCCCGCGTCCCCCCGCGCCCACCTGCCCCGGGCGCAGCGCGCCCCGCACCAGCCCGCGCACCAGCACCGCCGCCATGGCCGCCGCGCCCGCCCCGGCACACACGCCCGTCCCCGCTCCACGCCCCCTTAAAGCGCCCGCCTGCCACCACGCCGGGCAAGCGGGCGACCCTCGGAGCATCCCGGCGGGGACTCCCGGACCGGGAACGATGATCACTCCCTCCCCGAAGGGAGTCTCCCCAGGCGTCCGGCCCGACCTCCCTTGCTCCTGAGGGTGGGTGCCTTGACCAAACAATTGAGGACCCTGGGAAGAAGGCTGTGCCAAGCAGGTTTATTTGCACTCAGAAGCCCATTCGTGGGCGCTTGCGGCGGGGCTGCGAGGCGGAGGACAGCTGGCTCTGTGAAGAAGGGATGCACAGCTGGCTGGCCTGGCTGCCAGGGGGCTCTGGGGGCTCTGGGGGCCCCTCCGCCCACACGGATAAGTAGTCCCGCAGTGTTTTCCGCCGCTCCTTGGGGATGCCGCGGCAGCGAAAGCTCTGTGAAGACAGCAGGGCTTCCTCGGGTGCTGGTGAGGGCGGGGGGCTGTGAACTGGGGGGCTGCCTGCTGGTGGTGAGCCCTCCTGGGAGAGAATGGGTGGGTGGCTGTGGGAGAGCTGCGAGGGGCCCACGTCACTCAGCTCAGACAGCTCAGACTGATAAGTGAGGGAGGAGGTGAAACTGGCCGAAAGACTGCGGCGGCCCTGGGCTCGCTTCTGCCGCCGCCGCCGCTCCCGCAGTGCTCGCTGTCTCTGGGCCACACTGAAACTTGTCCTCTCCTCCCACCACTGCTCCCAGTCCCCAGCCCAAGCTGCTGTCAGACGGGTACTCAGGGGGTCTAGACCCCCTGCCAGCTCCCAGGTCTGTGGCAGGGGAGGGGGCTGGAGGGCCAAAGGCTCCCAGCACTGAATGCGGCCCCCTTCCTGCATGGTCTGGCGCAGCTGCTGGCGCATCTGTCTCTGCAGGCTGCTGGGGCCTGCTGGCCCTTCCAGGTCTCTCCGGGTGAAGAGGCGCCTCTGGCTGAGGCTGGAGGGCCAGGTGTGCCGGGCAGGCTCCCTCCAGGCCCTGAAAAGGGCCCTCAGCCAGCGGCGGTACCGCAGGGCTGCAGCTGGGCTGGGCACTGCTGGGGAGGGCTGAGGGCTGGCACATGGCTCCTGCAGTAGCTCAGCTTCCTCCAGGGGTGCTGGTGTGCTCATGTCCTCCTCCTCCTCCTCCTCCTCATCGATAATAACCTCCAGGTTTGGCAAGTAGAATGTTTGCTCTTCCTCCTCTTCTCCCTCATTGCCCAAGCCATCTGGGCTGCTGGCTGGAGCCTCGAAGAGGGGGGAAGAGCCAGGGGCTGTTGTGGCCTCATCCCTCGATGGGGGTGCAAGGGGCTGTGCCGTCTTGTGGGTCAGCCTCTGGCAGAAGACATCCCCAGCCTCAGAGAGCTGGAAAATCAACATGGACTTGTGTGGTCCATCCTCCTGCAGCATGGCAGCCAGCCCTGCAGGAAAAAGGAAAGGCATTGTCACCAGGGTTCCAGTCCCGGGAACACTCCATGGGCCTGGCCAGCAGTGGGGGCTGCCTCAACCCCTCAGTAGGCACTCTCACTGCTGGTTCCTGCCCTGTACATCTTTTTCTGTGTCATTAATCTCTTCTGCAGGATTGTTCCGGGGCTTTGCTTTTGCTTTTTCAGCCACGCTCCAGACAGGCCATGACAAAGGCTACACTTCACTCTGTTCCACCTTCTCCCCCACCAGGACCTGCAGCCTGGGGCAGAGTGGGACACTCACCTGCTGCTGGAGCTGACAGGCGCTGCTGGAGCAGGTGGTGGCGGTGTGGGAGCTGGGTGGGCAGGTGCTGCAGGCACCCTGCGATATTGTGCAGCTTCTGCGGAGTCCCTGCCAGCTGACAGGGCGACTGGCTGCCCCCTAAGGAAACACCCCAAAAACTGTCTGTTTAGCACAGGTGCCAGAGCAGCAGCTGATCCCAGCAGCAAAGGCGCTAGGACATGGGCACAGAGCAGCCCTGCCTCTGGAGCTTGATTTCCTACCTCGGTATTGCAACAGCAACAGCTCCTGGGTGCGGGACGCACCAAGCAGCACCTTGTGGCTCCTCTCGGGCTTCCCTGGCATCAGGTGTGCAAAGAGTGGAGGGGCCTTCATCATATGTGGCCACTTCAGAACAGGCACCAGTGGCAACCGCTCGTCCAGCACATACACGGAGAACTAAGACAGAAGTCTTGGCTCAGACAGGACACACACACCCCAATGCACCGTGGCAGCTCCCCTCACTGGAAAATCCTCATGCCCCATAAACACTGGGAGACACAACTGTGCAGCGTGTCTTCCCCAGCTCCCAGCTGTGGTGGGACTCACCTGGGTGGTGACAAGGTACTGTGAGGGGTGAGCCCTACCCAGGTACATAGGCAGCACCACACGCTCGCCCTGCTGACAGCCAGCTTCCTCGCCCACCTTGAACAAGTCGAAGTGGCATCTCTTGGGGGCCTGAAACAGTAGAACAGGGTGCGGTCAGCACTCTGGGCTGTGGAACCCTCTTCCCTGCCTGCTCCAAGCAACACACCCACCCTCCCAAGTTCACCCGGGCATCCAGGCACTGCAGGCCTGTGCGGTCAGCACAGCTGAGCACCCGCGGGTGAGCTGTGAAGTCACTCCAGCGCCAGGGTGAATGGTCCCGAAAAAACATGGTCTGGGAGTCATGGCGGAGCTTCTGCAGCCTGTGGGGAGACAGTAGTATTGGCACGGGGTAGGGCTGCCCCAGTCACTTGGGCCTCCCATCCCCTGAGACTCCATTGACTGCATGTGTCCCTAGACAGCCCTGAATGCCCTATCTCACCCGGTCTCTACGTTCCAGAGATAGACAGTCCCGCTCTGGGTGCAGACAGACAGCTCCCCGGGAAGGTGAGGGCTGCAGGACAGGGGACACAGCATCATCATGGTGCAACAGAACCCACCACACAGAGCAGAGCTGTGCCAGCAGGGAACCCCCCTCGCACAATCCCTTCCTCCAGCACCCACCTGACAGTGAGGCAGGAGGCAGGCACATCGGTGCGGATCACTTGTAGTGGGGCAGGAGCTGCCCCTGTCTTGCCCGGCACCCTCCAAACACCACAGTGATAGTCTGAGCGAACCCCAACAAAATCTGTCAGGGGGAAGGAGGTGGCATGTAATCTGGCAACATCCCAGGAGTCCCCTGCTGCCCCTCCTCCCTACATCTTGTCTGCCTCGCGATGTGGACGCTGGGGCTGGCTCACCTTGCCCATCCACACGGGCTGCAGCCACTTGCCGGATGCGCCCGCTGAGCTCAAACTGCACTGGGGAGCCTCGGGTGTGGGGCAGCGCCTCCAGCACCACATCCTGGAAATCTGGGATGCTGGCTAAGGGTGGTGCAATACAACCCCCACTTCCCTCCCCAGGGACATCCCATGGGGAAGGATACAGAGGTGGTTCATAGCCTGCCCTCCAGGGTACACCAGGCAGCCCCTGGGTGTCCCCCCGTCTTCAGGGGGCAACCAGGCCAGTGCCCCCCCAGTGAGGCTGTCGTCAAAGAGCAGGCTGGACCACTGCTGTGTCAGCTCCTCGTGCAGGCAGTCTGCCAGCAGCCCCAGCGGCACCTCGAAGAGCCAGTCACGACAGAGGTGGGAGAACCAGCGCAGGCGGGAGGCCAAGTGCTGCCGGGGGCAGCCGCTGCAGGGCATAGACAGCATCAGGTGGGGGGACAGAGCAGGAACTCCCTTAGACTGCTGCAGGGCAGGGGACAAAGGGACACTCACCGTCGGGCTTCCAGGCGGTCGATGTCCTCCAACAGGGCCGTCATCCGGATGGTGCTATTCCGGGCTGGTCTCTACAGGAGTAGGGAGCAGAGATTGAGACTGGCAAGGGGAAGGGAAGGGAGCAGCACTGTTACTCCTGGACAGACAGTGACCTTCAGCTTGGCGTTTCCCAGATAGAAGTTCTTGTGCAGCAGACGCCCCAGGGAGCCAAAAGCATCTTCTGGGTGATCCACAAAGAAATGGCCCAGCTGTGTGGGCAGAAGGAGAAAGGGTCAGTGCATGCAAAGGTCCTTGCCGCATAGGTCCTTGCCAGGATGCAACATCTCAAATCCCACCTGCCTGGCGAAGTCCAGAGTGGCTCCGGACTTGCCTATCCGGAGCTTCCTACACAGGCTGCTGCGGTACAGGAGGTCCTGAGGCGCAGGCGAGGGGATCCAGCAGCCTGTGGGGAGAAGGCAGAGGTGGCTTGGCATCACACGAGCACAGGGACACCGCTCAGCACTGCGGGGCAGCGGCAGCGATAGAGGTGGAAGGCATGTTTCCCCCAGCCCCCGTGCAGCGAGCTCCCTCCTGCTCCCGCGGCTCTCACCCGCTCTGGGCAGCAGCACCGGCACGGCCGCAGCGTCGGCGGCTTCCCACCTTTCGCCCGTCGCGCCGCGGCGGGGCACGAACGCCGGCTGCACCTGCGGGGAGCGAAGGAGGAGAGTCAGAGCGGCCCACTAACGTCCCGCCCGTTCCCTCGGCCCGCCGGGACCCCCGGCAGAGGCTCACCTGGCGGCGGCCGGGGCCACCCTCCAGCACCTGCCCGTGCTCGCCCCAGCCGGCGGCCGGTGCGGGGCCGCCCTCTTCCCGCGGCGGGCCGGCGCAGAAGTAGGAGGGGAAGAGCGCGGCCGGGAACTCCATGGCCGCGGCACCGGGCATAGGCGCAGCACGCGGCCGGGCCGCCGCTCCCGCCACCCGCGGGGATGGCGCCGCCACCGCCACTGACGTCACCGCGCGCTGCTGCCGCCGCTCACCAATCAGCGGCCCGGGAACAGCGCGGGACAGAGCGCCGACGGCGGTACAGCCATGCGGGGCGCCACCGCCCCCTGGCGGCCGGAGGGTAAAAACGTACGGCCGGCAGCGGGACGGGAACCGGGAACGAGCGGGGAAGGGTGTGACCGGGATCGGGAACAGGAACGGGAACGGGAGAGGGAGAGGGAAGCAGTGGGACTGGGATAGGAACGGGAACGGGCGGGAGAAGAGGTGGGACCCATTCGGGAAAGGGAACGGGCGAAACGAAGTGGTAAGACCGGGACGGG